TGTGGAGGCGCTGACGTGAGCCAATCAGGAGGGCCTCAGTTTTGCGCACGTTGAGCTGAAGAAAGTTGTCTCTCGTCCAGGACTCGATGTCGGACAGGCAGCTGTCAGGACATCGGGGGTCGTGGAGTTGAGGGTAGAGGAGGAAAGGTAGAGTTGGGTGTCATCCGCATACATGTGGGAGTTAACCCCATGTCTGCGGATGATGTCACCACAGGGGGAGCATATAGAGGGTGAAGAGGAGGGGACATAGGACAGAGCCCTGAGGGACACCGCACGAGACAGTGCGGGAGCCGGAGGAAAAGCCATTTGTGGAGTTCCGGGGGTAATAATTACTTAACATTTTGTTAAATTGCTGTGCGCAATTGGCCTCATATCCGCACCACAACTGGCACCGCCTTCCATCACCTCCGGAACATCGCCAGACTACGGCACTACCTCACCCCTCACGCGGCTGAGACTCTGGTCCACACCTTTATCACCTCAAGGCCGGACTATGGGAACTCTCTCCTCGTCGGCCTTCCCGGCCCTCCCTCCACACTGCAGGTCATTCAGAACTCTGCAGCTCGTGTACTGTCCCGCACCAGACACCGCGACCACATCACTCCCACCCTTGGACGCCTCCACTGGCTCCCCATCCCCCAGAGGATCGAATTCAAGATCCTCATCCTCACCTACAAGGCCATTCACGGCCTCGCTCCCTCCTACCTCTCTGACCTACTATCCCCCTACCTACCCGCCCGTACCCTCCATTCCTCTGGCTCCGGTCTGCTCCACATCCCCCGCCCCAACCGCCCTACCATCGGTGGCCGGGCCTTCAGCCTCTCAGCCCCGAGGCTCTGGAACTCTATCCCCCAGTGCCTTCTTCGCCTCCTCCCTTTCCTCCTTCAAGGCCGGTCTCAAGACCTTTCTTTTTGACGGTGCCTTCAGCTCCCCTCTCGACTCTCTACCCCCTCCTCACTCCCTCCCTTCTCTCCCCTCACCCTGACCATTTCCCCCCAATGCTCGAGTCCTGACCCAACTGTACAGCGCCTTGGGACGTCCTCCCGATGTGAAAGGCGCTCTATAAATGGAATCTTGTTGTTGTCGTTGTTCCAAAGAGCTGGCACAGGTACAATGGGCCGAATGGCCTCCTTCTGTGCTGTATGATTCCATGATTCTATCCAATTCTACCTTTCCAAGCTGCATATTAAAGGCCCTATTTTAAAGGTGTTAAGTGGTGTGCGGAGGCTCTGCAAAAGATGGTTTGAGTTGGGGCCATGTTTTATTATTATTGTTTTGGGGGAATCTTCGGCTAGAACACTGGGCGTTGTAATAAAGAGAGGAATGCGTGTGTGAGGCACATAGCTGGCAGTTCGGAAAAACATGAAGATAGTACCAGACATTAGACAAAGCTACCAGGAACCTACAACCAAATGATTGGCCTGAACAAAGAAAGGCCTTCTAAAAAAAACTGTGATAAGAAGTATCAGAGCAGTAAAAACAGGGTTAAGATTAAGGGAAGTAACACATTGTGGACCTAGCAACAGAAGAAAGAGATAAGGGCAGAACCTTACGAAACGAGCAGACAGCCCAGCAGCGCGAGGCGGGAACTGAGTGAGGTGGAACCGAGTGAGAAATCTGTTTAGGAATTTGGTGAGAGTGGGAATTCTGTGCAGAGGGGGAAAGAGGTGCATTATTATAAAATATGTAAGTTTTATTAACATTGTAAAAAAAACATGTCTGGGAATATGGCAGGGCAGCTCAGACCGGTTGAATGCACAATGTGTGCCATGTGGGAACTCCAGGATATTTTGCTTGCCCTGGATAGACACGTGTGTGGAAGTGCCTCCTCCGGCTGCTTGAGCTTGAGCTCAGGGTTTCTGAGCTCTGGGAGAGGCTGGTGCCACTGCATAGCATACGGGAGGCTGAAGAGTTCATGGATCGAACGTTTCAGGAGGTGGTCACCCCACAGCCAGAGGGTTCATGAGGAGAGCGAGTGGTTGACCACCTGGCCTGGTAGGAAGAGGGCACGGACAGTGTAGGAATCTCCTGAGTGTGGCACTCGCAAAGCGGTTCTCTGTACTGAATACCAGTCAGGGTGATGACACGTCTGGGGAGAGGAGTCAAAAACCAATGGATGCCCAGAGGAACACAGGGAAGAGTGTCAATGCAATTGGGGACACACTGGTGAAAGTAGAGAGACGTTTCTGCAACCAATGACGTGACTCGCGTGGCATGTTGCCTCCCTGGTGCCAGGATTGGTGCAAAACATTTTACAGGGGGGAAAGGGAAACATCCAGAAGTCGTGGTTCATGTTGGGATCCATGACGTACGTGCACTCTCTCCCCAGGAGCACACCGTGCTTACCTGATCCCGACAGTAATAGGCACAGTATGGCCAGACCCAGAGTGTGAAATAACTGCTGGAGACGAACCAGGTGAAGTCATATAGCTGGCCATTGATATCACTGTCTGACAAGCTTTCCCAGTGGTTGTCCAGCGAGGAAGGACCACCCTAATAATAATCGTTGCATTTGATACAGCGTCTTATCACGTCTTCGAGACTTCTGAAAGCGCTTCACAGAATGCACTGTAAAGTGAATTGACTGTGTATTTTGTGGTCGAAACGCAGCAGCCAATTGCATCCAGCAGCGTCCCACCAACAGCCGGGGATTGAGTGACCAAAGTATTATTAATCAATAATGCGGCATTGATTAATAATTAGCTAATTATTGAAGATCACACAGAAATTCCGAAGACAGTTTTTTTGTACAAACTGTAGAAACGCGATAGGGCTTTGGCTGTAGGGTTAACAGGAGCTGAGGGGGAGCTCAGGTCGGGCAGTGGGTGCCCTGGAATACTGCGGACCTGCCTGGCTTTGGAACCGGACTGGAGACCGGCACAGTTGCCAAGCACTTCACTGTGGAGCCAGTTCAGCTTTCTAAAACATGTTTACCAAATGATTGGTCCTTTTCTTGCTCACAGAGAGGGAAGGGGCTGGAGGGGTTCAGGAGAGGACTTACATGGTGTAAACACAGGCACAAACTCTGAGCTGAATGACGGGTCTCAGTGCTACGCAACCCTCCTCAGTGCGAGGAGCAAGGGATAGGGGACAAGGTGGGAGAGAGGGGGGGAGAAGTGGAGGGAAAGGAGCGAGGCGGAGGAATAGAAGCGGAGGGAGACGTGGTGAAGCGGAGGGAGTGGGGGGGGGAGGTGGAGGGAGAGAGAGAGGGAGGTGGAGGGAGAGAGGAAGCGGAGGGAAAGAGGGGGTGAGGCGAAGGGAGAGAGATAGCAAGGCGGAGGGAGAGGGGGCGAGGCGAAGGGAGAGGGTTGCGCACATCAACATCCCACAAACAGCAGTGAGGCGAATGATCAATTTTATCTGGAGGATTAACTGAACAAGCAGACGGGAGCTCGGTTTAACGTCTCCTCTGAAGGACGGCGTCTTTTACAATGCGTCTCTTTCTCTCTCTTCCCTCATCGTTGCACTGGAGCATCAGCTTGGACTGAGCTCAGTTCCCAGTCTGGGAGGAACTCAAACCCAGAACAACCCAGAACTATCTGTCCCAGAGATGAACATGTGAATGGCTGAGGCTTTAACTTGCATTACAAGCCATAATAAAGGTGTGAATGTGTATTTGACACACAAAGTGTGTGCGGGACCCTGTGGTCTAGATACCAATCGCTGTTTTTATTCACAGGCTGGTTGGTGGGTTTCACTGCCATTGAACCCCTCTTAATATGTACAAACATCAGTGATGGTGGAGTGGAATGTCCACTGGGTCCAGGAACTGCACCAGAGTCCACAACCCCCCTCCCCTAAACCCCCCCCCACCCCACCCCTCGCTCAGACTGAGTGCAGCACAGAGAACAGTCAGACTCTGCTTCCGAGCACACCGGTGGTGGTGGTGGTGGGGGGTTGGGGGGTGGGAGTCTCTGCAGAGGTCTGCGCTCTGACATCTTCACCTGTCCTCAGCACGTCCGTCCTGTGGGGCATTGAGTTCAGCTGGTCCTCTTCAGGGTCAGAGCGAGGGCGAGGAGAGAGGGCGAGGAGTGAAGAACGAAGACTAGGGAAATGCACAGTGAGGAGTGAGGGAGGGGAGCCAGTCTTTCAGTTGCCATGAGCCATGCAGATCTCGCTCTCCTGGTCTCCCTTCCTCCGTGTTAATGCTGTGGCTTTGAACTCTGTGGTCAGCAAGTGCTAAAGTCTGAGAACAGTGGGGTGGGGGGCGAGAGTTCAGAGGGTCTCTGTGTCCGTGTCCGGGGGGGAGTCTTTGCTGTTCTCTCAGTCGGGGGGGACGAGTGTCACAGTTGGCAATGACAGCGATAGCCATCTCACATCAACGTTTCCATTCAACGAAGATCCAGATAAATCTACAAGTTGAAATAGTAAGTACCGACTTGGGGGGAGGGGATCCGAGAAACAAAGTGCCAACTTCAGGGGCTGCTCTTTGTCACCTGGTCCTTGGCAGGTTGGCAAAGGGCGTTTTGTCCGGCTGGTACCACGATACCAGCCCAGGATACTGGGCAATGTGCGTCTGTGCATGTGTGGGTTAGAAAGAAACAGTGCGTGTGTGTATGTATGTGTGTGTGTGTGTGAGAGAGAGTGCGTGAGTATGTGTATATGTGTGTGTGAGAGAGTGTGTGTGTGTATGAGATAGTGAGTGGTTGGATGTGTGGGGACCTGACGTGTCAGTGTGTGTGAGATCAAGTATGTGTGAACATGCGTGGCTGACAGTGTGACTGAGCGTGGGACAGTGTGCCAATGAGCGTGTCAGGGAGTGAGTGAGTGAGTGAATGAGTGTGTCAGGGTGACAGTGAGTGTGTTAGTGTGAGTGTGTGACAATGTGAGTGTGTGACAGTGTGGGTGAGTGTGACAATGTGAGTGAGTGTGACAGTGTGAGTGTGAGTGAGTGTGACAGTGTGTGTGAATATGTGAGTGAGTGTGAGAGTGTGGGTGAGTGTGACAGTGTGAGTGAGTGTGACAGCGTGGGTGAGTGTGACAGTGTGAGTGAGTGTGACAGTGTGTGTGTGTGACTGTGAGTGTGACAGTGTGGGTGAGTGTGACAGTGCGTGGCTGCTCTTGCCGGTGATGGTCGCTACACGGTGACCTGCTCGATGACGGTCTCGCCGGCCACAGCTTCAGCTTCGATCAGCTCCATGGGGACCACGATGTGGGAGAGCTCGGGGTCTGTCTCCGGCTCTGGCTCTGGCTCTGGTTCGGGTTCAGCCTCTGGCTCGAGCTGTGCCAGGCCGTGCACCTCCCTCAGGTGCTGCCGCAGTTCGCCCGGGCGCATGAACCACATGTCACACAAAGTGCAATGGTTGGGCTTGGCCCCCGTGTGCACCGCCAGGTGGCTCTTGAACTGGTCCCAGCTCGGGAAGACACTGCAGCAAACCTGCCGAGAGCAGACAGCAATCAGTCAAACCCCACCTGGGTCACCTCCCTCCCTCTCCGAGCTTCCTCCCCAACCCACTATCTGCTCGACCGACTCCCTGCATGTCTCTCGTCCCCTCCATTCCACCATCGGTGGCCACGCTTTCAGCCACTAGGCCCCGAAACTCTGGAACACTCTTCCTCTATCCCGCCGCCTTGCCCCTTCCTTCCCCATCTTCAGGTCACGCCTGAAGACCTTCCTCTTCCACCGTGCCTACGGTCGCCACCCCCTCCCCCAGCTCTGAATCGTGTTCCGCCACTGCCAAGCTCTGGGACGCTGCCTGCGTGAGGGACGCTGTGTAAATGCAAGTTGTTGTTGTTGTCACTCCCACTGCTTCACAATCCCTGAAAGAGTTTGTTGTGCGTCAGCCTGGCTCGGCACCTCGCGCTCTCGACTCCGAGTCAGAACATTGTGGGTTCGAGGTCTTAATGAGCTCACAGACCAGACTGATGCACAGCGCTGGGGGGAGAGAACGCCGCATTGTCAGAAACCCATCCTTCGGGTGAGGGGTTAAACCGAACTCCCCGTCTGAGCCCTGTTCAGGTGGACGTTAAAAGATTCCCGGACAGGGCGAAACTATAGGCAAGTTTCCTTACTCCACACACCTCTGTTTACCTAACAGTAAGTAGCTGTTGGTCGATTGACGGATCGCTTTTCCGGGGATAATAATCCCTTCAAATTTAAAAAATAATAATAATTTGATCCCTCAATCCACAACTATGTGCAATTGGCTGCCGCATTTCACCTACAAAAATATACCTTCAATTCACTTTACAGTATATTCTGTGAAGCGCTTTGAGACGTCTCAACCACGTGATACGGTGCTATATCAAATGCAAGGATTATTATTATTATTTATTATAAAATCCCTCGTTCCTTCACGGCTGTTTGTGGGACTTCGCTGTGAGCAAATCAGCTGCCGCAAAACTTTTGACGAATTAAATTTGAACGAAATTTTACATTTCGCCAACAAAGCACCAAAATATCAGGAATGCCCCACAAACAGCCACCAAGTGAACAAGCAAGTGGACATTGTCAGCCAGGGCACCAGGAGAGAGAGAAACTCCATTCTCTTTTCCAATAGTTCCGTGAGGGATCTCTAACATGTGGAGTCCTGCAGCTCAGTGGTTAGAGCACTCGCTTTGCAAGCGAGAGACCTGAGTTCAATTCCAGGCAGAGGGCGAAACCTTGGGCAAGTTTCCTCACTCCACACAGAGCCTAATAATAATCCCTCCAAAACCCAAAACAATAATAAATTGGTCATTTTCAATCCACGACTGTTTGTGGGACATTGCTGTGCGCAATTGACTGCCGCGTTCGCCCACAAATATACAGTCAATTCACTTTACAGTATATTCTGTGAAGCGCTTTGAGACATCGAGAAGATGTGAAAAGCGCAATATTAAATGCAAGGCTTATTATTATTATTATTATCCGAAGGACAGCATCACTCACTGACAATGCGGCGCTCACTCCATTACTGGAGCCTCAGCCTGGACTGTGAGCTCAACAACAACAACATATTACATTTACACGGCGCCTTTCATGTCAGGAGGAAGTCCCAAGGCGCTGGACAGTCAGAGATTTGGACCCGAGCTGGGGATTAGGTTCAGGGTAGGGAGGGTGATCAAAGGCTCGGTCAAAGAGGAGGGTCTTGAGATGGGCCTTGGGGAAGGATCCAGGCGGAGGGAATGTGGGATGGAGTTCCAAAGGGTGGGGGCTGGTGTGAGCGAGGGTGGGTTGCGCCTGTACCTGGCACTCGTACAGCTTCTTGCGGCCTTTCTTGGCGCCCACGCCAGTGCGACAAGCCACCAGGTGACATTTCAGTGTGCTGTTCCTCGCAAACCGCTCGTGGCAGTTCGGACACTCGAAGGGTTTCTCTCCTGATCCAAGAGGGGAAAAAAAGGGCATCAGTTCATCGTTTCCCCAGGCCTGGCAGGACACAGTCACACACAGTGCTTCCCTCAGCCACCGCCTCCGCCATCAACTAGTCTTTGCATTTGATACAGTGCCTTATCACGTCATCAAGACGTTTCAAAGTAAAGCATATTGACTGTGGATTTTGTGTGCGATGAAAATAACTTGAATTTATATACAGCCCTTCACACAGGGATGTTATCTGAAGATGGGAAAGGAGAGGGATTGAGGCAGAGAATTCCACTGTTTCAGGGCGTTAGTGGCTGAAAGCTCGGCTGCCGATGGTGGAGCGGAGGTGATCAAGAACAGCCGAGCAGAGGCAGCAGGTGAAACAGTAAGATGTAAGGTTAGAGAGGTAGGGAGGTGCCAGGGCAGGAAGTGATTTGTACATGAGAGAGTGAGGAGCTTGAAATCGATCTGTACATCCGGACAGGACTGGGCGTGGCTGGAACCATCTGCTCACGCATGTGTTTGTTCGTCTCTGCCTGTACATGTGGTGTGTGTGTGTCTGTGCTATATATAGAGGGAGTTACTGGGTGAATCTCAGAGAAGGGAGTTTCTCCTGGTTTCCTGGTTGACAATCTCCCCTATAAATTAATCATAATAATCCTTACGTTTGACACAACACCTTTCAAGTCAGGAGGACGTCTCAAAGCTCTTCGCAGGATTAACTGTAAAGTGGAGTGACTGTGTATTTTAAGCGCTTTGAGACGTTCTTCCTATTTGAAAGTCACTATAGACAGTAAATATAAATTGTATTTTTAGGCAAACATGACAGCAACATCTCAGAAATATCCGTGAAATGAACGATCAATTTTAGTTAGCGGATTGTCAGCCAGGACACCGAAAGAGAAACTCCCTTCTCCTTCCCATTAAGTGCCACACGATCTTTAACGCCCACCTGAACAGGGACAGACAGGGAGTGAGGTTTACCATCTCACCCAAAGGACAATGTGGTGGGGGGTTGGGTGGCCATTCCTGCGCAGGTCAGCACCAGGAAACATATAACCAGAAAGAAACCTTCAATCCTGATTTTCGGGGCTAAAATTCACAAACCAAAAATCGTCCTCCTCCGAGGAGAAAAAAATGGCCGCCTCGGGATCCGGCTTGGAAGAAGCCACTTACCTGGTGAGGTGCTGCCACCTGGTGGCGGGGTGCATAGCGGCACCTGGAGCAGGGTGTCTTACCCGTGTGTTTCCTGAGATGCTCTTTAAAGTGTCCAAAGTGGTCAAACTGCTTCTGGCAGTACTGGCAGACGTGGACCTTGCGCATACAGCGAGGCTTCTTGCTGCCGGCCTCCTCCTCCTGGTGCCAGGCCAGGTGCTGTTTCCAGGCGCTCTCCCTTGTGTAGCGCTTGTTACACAGGTGACAGGCGTAGATCTCACCCGAGTGAACCTTCAGGTGCTCCTTAAAGTGGTAGTAAAGTCTGAACGAGCGGCTGCACTTCTCACAGCAAAACAGCTTGTCTCCCTGAGCCAGGACCTCGACCACATGGACCCCCGCCTCCGCCCCCACCTCCCGCACGGCAGCCCCCGCCTCCCCGTCCTTCTCCAGCTCCCGCTCCCTCTCGTCCTGCTGGTACTTGCTAGTGATGTCAGCCAACAGGGCCAATGCAGAGCCCACCGACTCCCCCTACAGAGCAGACAGTAACACTTATCATACTAACATACTGATAACATAGTCTATACTCCTGATACCTCATCACTGACGAGGGTGACGAGTTATCAGGAGTGGCGAGTTAGACACATGTGTAAGTAGAGTCCCATAGAGTAGTGGTTAGTGCGTTTGCCTCGTAAGCAAGATGACCCGGGTTTGATTCCTGGCAGGACGAAATGTTGGGCAAGTTTCCTTACTCCACACGCCTCTGTTTATCAGCAGTGAGTAGGAACCTGGTTGTTAGTTGATTGGTGGATCGCTTTCCGGGGGTAATGATCCCTCCAAAAAAAAAATCCAAGACTGTTTGTGGGACGCTGCTGTGCGCAATTGGCTGCAGCATTCCACCCACAAAATATACAGTCAATTCACTTTACAGTACAAACAAAACACAAAATACTGCAGATGCTGAAAATCTGAAACAAAAACCCAAGTCGCTGGGAGCCCTCAGCAGGTCAGGCGGCATCTGTGGAGAGAGGAAAACGAGTCAACGTTTCGGGTCCACGACCCTTCGTCAGAACTGGGGCACTCTGGAGGGGGAGAGGCTTTTAAGGGCTAACAGGGAGGGGGGAGTCAGGGCAAGGAAGACAAAGGAGACAATGGGGTAGAGGACGGGGGATGATGGGTTAAAGAGGTGTTAATGATGCAAAACAAAGGGCGGGGTTGTTCTGACGAAGGGTCGTGGACCTGAAACATTGAGTCACTTTCCTTTCTCCATGGATGCTGCCTGACCTGCTGAGGGTTCCCAGCGACTTCTGTTTTTGTTCTGCTTTACAGTATATCCTGTGAAGCGCTTTGTGAGACGTCTCAACAACATGATAAGGCGCTGTATCCATCGCAAGGATTATTAGTATTATTATCATTAGCTCAGGTGCCCATCCAGGACTCTGAGACGGTGTATAAATTTGAATTGGGATTGACTTTTGTCTCATGTTGGTGTTTGGCAGCTCTGAAGAGGCTGCAGTGACTTTGCTGACCTCTCCCGCCTCGGCTGCCCCCTCCGGCCTGTCCTCCTCCACCTCGCGGCAGGCCTTGGCCGTCTCCTCGGCCCCGGGCCGCCCCTCTCCGGCATCCCCCACGCTGGGGGCTGCCTCGATCTCCACGATCTGGGCCGCAAACACGGCGCCGTCCTGCTCGATCTCCAGCGTCTCCGGCTCCTGGATGGACGGCAGCGTCTCCGTGATCACGTTGGACGTCTCGGCGATGGTCCGCTTCTTGGCTTTCCTTCCCCCGGCCCCCTCGGCACTGCTGGCCGGAGAGGAAGCTTTGTTCCTGGGACAAAACGGGAGCAGAGACGGTCAGGCGGACATTGGGAACAGCGCGAAGACAGTGTGAGGCGGCAACAAACAGGTAAACAGCTGAGTTCAGATCCCCAGACACCATTCTCAGGCCGTATAGCGTCTGGTCAGGCAGCACCTTTTCTGACAGCTCTGATCACAACGTAAGGGCCACCCGTGCGCTAAAGACTATGCAGAGAGAGCAGCCAGACTGATCCCAGTGTTACAGACAGAGGAGAGCAGCGAGGCTGATCCCAGTGTCAGAGCCAGAGGAGAGCAGCGAGGCTGATCCCAGGGTTAGAGATAGAGGAGAGCAGTGAGGCTGATCCCAGTGTTAGAGACAGAGGAGAGCAGTGAGGCTGATCCCAGTGTTAGAGACAGAGGAGAGCAGTGAGGCTGATCCCAGTGTTAGAGACAGAGGAGAGCAGTGAGGCTGATCCCAGTGTTAGAGACAGAGGAGAGCAGTGAGGCTGATCCCAGGTTAGGAGGGAGAGCAGTGAGGTGTATGATTAGAGCAGGCTGGTTCAGGGTTGAGAGACAGAGCTGAGAGGGGACGTCCCAGAGGTGTGTAAGTGGAAGGGATGAGTCCCGTATGCTGTCAGTTGAGACAGTAGAACAAGAGGCCTTGAGTTTAGATGTATTTAGACAGACTCAGGCTGTTACCAGGGGTTGATGAGAAGACGATGAGAGGGGAGCAGAGGTGTGTAACAGTGTAAATGGGATTGAAAAGTAAACCCAGATCATCGCTGTCAGATACACTGAGACAGGAGCAGGAGTAGGCCATTCAGCCCCTCGAGCCTGTGCCCCGCCATTCGATAAGATCATGGCTGATCTTCAGACCTAACTCTAATTACCCGCCCTCTCCCCATATCCCCTAAACCCTCTGTTTTTTTAAAAATCTATCAGTCTCAGCCTTGAAGATGTTCAAGGACTGACATCTACAGCCTTCTGGGGTAGTGGATTCCATAAGTTCACTACCCTCTGAGTGAAGAAATGTTTTCTCAACTCTGTTCTAAAAGGCTGACCCTTAATTTTCAGACTGTGACCCCTGGTTATAGATTCTCCTCCCGGGGAAACAGACCCTCAGTGTCTACTTTATCAGCTCTTTAAGAATCTTATATGTTTCAATAAGATCTCCCCTAATTCTTCTGTACTCTGGAGAATACAGCCCCAGTTTATTCAGCCTCTCATAGGTCAGTCCCCTCATCCCAGGAACTAACCGAGTGAATCTACGCTGCACCCCCTCGAGGGCAAGTGTGTCCTTTTTTAAATAAGGACCAAAACTGCACACAATACTCTCGGTGCGGTCTCACCAAAGCCCTATAAAGTTGCAGTAAGACTTCCCTACTCTTGTACTCTAAACCTTTTGCAATGAACGCTAACTGCCGTTCGCCATCTTAGTTGCTGCTGCACTGCAAACTAACTTTTTGAGACCGGTGTACACGAACACCCAAATCCCTCTGAACACTAACACTATCTAATCTCTCCCTCTCTAGAAAATAATCTGTTTTTCTATTTTTTCTACCCGGGTGAATAACCTCACACTTCCCCACATTAAATTCCATCTGCCACCTCCTCGCCCACTCCCCGAGCCTATCTATGTCCCGCTGCAATCTTTTTGCATCATAACCCAGCCTGGCTCAGCAGTAGGACCTGGAAGGGCCGACCAGTCACTGGGGCAGGGAATCCTCCCCCTCAGCTCCTGTTAACCCTACAGCCAAAGCCCTAATGGATAGGGTGGTCCTAACTGGACGAGCAGCGGGAAAGCTGGCCAGACAGCGACATCAACGGCCAAGCTGTGTGGATTTAGCTGGTTAGAGTCCAGCAGTTGTCCATGTACGAGTGAGGGGTTTGTACACCTCCCGATGACATTACCTGTTGTTGAGAGCTTTAATGGCCTCCTCCATCTGTAAATATTCGGCCGCCTTCCACACATCGCTCGCCTCCTCCTCCTGTAGCACCATCAGCCTGGCCGTGTAGGTGAACTCGATCAAGTGACGGAACGCCAGGTTACTCACCCCTGTGACAAGAACAACAACGAGAGCTTATAATAATAATCCCTCCAAAAACCCAAAACAATAATAAATTGGTCATTTTCAATCCACGACTGTTTGTGGGACATTGCTGTGCGCAATCGGCTGCCGCGTTCCCCCACAAATATACAGTCAATTCACTTTACAGTGTGTTCTGTGAAGCGCTTTGGGACGTCCTCCCGACGTGAAAGCGCTATATCAAATGCAAGGATTATTATTATTATTATTATTATAGTAACAAGTAGAATAATAGTAACAATTATACCAACATTAGCAACAATTAGAATAGTAACAATTATACCAACATTGGTAACAATTTTAACGACATTCGTAACAATTTTACCAACAAAAGTAACAATTATGATGACTTAGTAACAAAAAGAACAATATTAACAATCATAACAATTGTAAAATAGTAAACGTTGAGCAGAATAGAGATCCTATTATTAGAATAGAATAAGAACAACAACAACAAGATTCCTTTTATAGAGCGCCTTTCACGTCGGGAGGACGTCCCAAGGCGCTGTACAGTTGGGTCAGGACCCGAGCATTGGGGGGGGAAATGGTCAGGGTGAGGGGAGGGAGGAGGGAGCGAGGAGGGGGAAGAGAGTCGAGAGCGGAGCTGAAGGCTGAAGGTCAGAGAGAAGGTCTTGAGACCGGCCTTGAAGGAGGAAAGGGAGGAGCGTCGAAGGCACTGGGGATGGAGTCCCAGAGCCTCGGGCTGAGAGGCTGAAGGCCACCGATGGTCGGGCGGTGGGGCGGGGGATGTGGAGCAGACCGGAGCCGAGGAACGGAGGGTACGGGGGGGGGATAGTAGGTCAGAGAGGTAGGAGGGAGCGAGGCCGTGAATGGCCTTGTAGGTGAGGATGAGGATCTTGAGTTTGAGAAGTGGAGTCCTGTAGCTCAGTGGTTAGAGCACTCGCTTTGCAAGTGAGAGACCTGAGTTCAATCCAGGCAGAGGGCGAAACTTTGGGCAAGTTTCCTTACTCCACACAGAGCCTAATAATAACCTCCAAAACCAAAACAATAATAAATTGGTCATTTTCAATCTACGACTGTTTGTGGGACATTGCTGTGCGCAATTGGCTGCCGCGTTCGCCCACAAATATACAGTCAATTCCCTTTACAGTATATTCTGTGAAGCGCTTTGGGACGTCCTCCCGACGTGAAAAGCGCTATATCAAATGCAAGGATTATTATTATTATTAAGAGCCTGGGGCATCTCAAAATGCTTTAACTACAATCATTTGCACTTATTTAGTGGCTTTCATAAGGAGAGAGTCCTGAACACTTTGCACAGACAGAGAAGGAGCCTGAGCTTTCACTTTGGGAGGATGTCCCAAGGTGCTGGACAGTCACGGATGTGCACCCGAGCAGTCACTGCTCTTTACGGTGAATTCTGTGAAGCGCTTTGAGACGTCCACCCGATGTGAGAGGCGCGGCATGGGATGTAACATTATTATTATTATTATTATTAATGATGATATCATCTGACGAGCGAACATCTCACCTTCAATCTCCACCAGAGGCTCCTCCCTGAAATCCTGGAAAAAGCGACAGAAGAATTGGCTGCAGGCGGCCAGCACCGCTTTGTGGGCCTTAAAATGGTGACCTGAGGAGGAGAGAGCGTCAAAGCTTTGCTGGGCAACACATCACACCCTACACACACACACACACACAAAATCCCCCCCCACCACCACCACCAAATACACACACACAAACACATCACCCTACCCCCCCACACCCCCCATCACCCCACACGCGCGCGCACACATTAACCCCACCCCACCTACACACACCATCACCCCCACCTCCACACACACCTCACCTCCACACATACCTCACCCCCTCCTCCACTTACAGCAACCCCCACCCGCACGCTCACCAACCGCATCCATCAATCTTGCAACATATAAAAAAAATGATCTGGGAGTATTATCGGGCAGAACTGAGGGAAAAAAACAAGTAACATGGGTTCTTTAACAGGCACCTGAACAGGGCACAGACGGGATGTCGGCTTAATGTCTCATTTGAAGGATGGTGTCTCTGAGAATACAACACGACTTCCAGCGCTGCATAAGTGTGTCAGCTTATACCGTGTGATTCCAAGTGTGATGTGGGGTTTTGAACCCACAACTTTCTGACTCGGAGGTGATAGCGCTACCACTGAGCCAGGCCGACACAGAGATATCGCTATTCCTCGCCCTGCGGTACATCTCACGAGCTGCCAAGTCGTCCTTCTACTCCAGGATAATCCTGGAGGCGAAGAACAACCCCAGGCTACTGTTTTCCACCACAACCCGACTCCTCCGTCCCCCCCGCCACCCCGCGCAGGTCATCTCCTCCAACCTTCACTGCGAGGAGATGCTGGATTTCCTTGAATCCAAGATCAAGGGAATCCGCTCCGCGGTCACTTCCCCTCCAACATCCACCACCCCCACCCCTCCTCCCACACTCCGACTCCTACCCATCCTCCCCTACTCACTTTGTACCCGTTTCCCCACCCTCTGTCACCAAACTCATCCTATCCCTAAACCAACCACCTGCTCCCTTGACCCCATCCCCACTCCACTCCTTATCTCCCAGCTCCACTTTCTTGCCCCACATATCTGACTACATCAACCTGTCCCTCTCCTCTGGCTCTGTCCCATTCCCTTAAAAACTGCCATCATCACGCCCACCCTGAAAAAACCCTCCCTTGATGCGTCGCAGCTATCAAGCTACCGGCCCATCTCCAACCTCCCCTTTCTCTCCAAGGTCTGGAAAGAGTTGTCGCCTCCCAACTGCGCTCTTTCCTTTCCACCCATTCACTTTTCGAACCCCTTCAGTCAGGTTTCCGTGCTGCCCATAGCACAGAAACTGCCCTGGTCAAGGTCACCAATGATATCCTGACCATCTGTGACCAGGGCTCCCTCTGTCTCCTCGTCCTCCTCGACCTATCGGCAGCATTCGATACGGTCGACCACGCTATCCTACTCCACCGCTTGTCCTCCCACCTCAACCTTCAAGGCACTGTCCTTGAGTGGTTTAGGTCGTACCTTTCTCACCGTCTTCACTTTGTCTCGACGAATGGCTTCTCCTCCACCCCCCGTACTGTCTCATGTGGTGTCCCTCAGGGCTCTGTCCTCGGTCCCCTCCTCTTCACCCTCTATATGCTCCCCCTTGGTGACATCATCCGCAGACATGGGTTAACTTCCACATGTATGCGGATGACACCCAACTCTACCTTTCCTCCTCTACTCTCAACTCCACGACCACCGATGTCCTGACAGCTGCCTGTCCGACATCGAGTCCTGGACGAGAGACAACTTTCTTCAGCTCAACGTGCGAAAAACCGAGGCCCTCCTGATTGGCTCACGTCAGCGCCTCCGCACCTCAGGCGCTGACACCATCAGCATCCAAGGCTGCACTCTCCACCTCTCAAAGCCAGTCAGGAACCTCGGCGTTTTGTTCGACCCTGAGCTGTCCTTTCTCCCTCACATCCGCACCACAACTGGCACCGCCTTCCATCACCTCCGGAACATCGCCAGACTACGGCACTACCTCACCCCTCACGCTGCTGAAACCCTGGTCACGCCTTTGTCACCTCAAGGCTGGACTATGGGAACTCTCTCCTCGCCGGCCTTCCCGCCACCTCCCTCCACAAGCTGCAGGTCATTCAGAACTCTGGCAGGAATGTCGGGATCAAGCCATCCCCCTGCGGCAGTCTCGGTAGTCCTGTTCCTAAGCCATGCCAAAACCCTAATAGGCAGGTGGTCCTTGCTGGACAAACAACAACAAATTCAACTTGTGTCGTGCCTTTCACATCGGGAGGATGTCCCAAAGCAGTGAGAACGTTTGCCAGACAGCGCTTTCAACGGCTATCTACGTTATGTGGTTTTAGCTGGTTAGCAGTTGCCCCAAAGCACCGTCTGGGGGTCCCCAAACCTTGGCACTTGCCAACCTGTGCCTAATACTTTCCGGAATTCGGTAAGCCGGATGTATCCCTCCAGGGAGAGAGTGCAAATTCGATTCCAACAATCTATCTCTGTAATTTCCATGTGTAGGTGCGATGCATAAAATTCTCAAGTTTGGTTTGGATACTCTTAAGCACGGTGATGGGTTTCTGCATGTATCAGGCACCCGGAAAAAAATGTTCACAGTCTGGCTCATTGCTTTGTAATCATTTTTCACTGTTCCATTCTTTGCCAAAGTCTTGTGGTGCCAGTGATTGCTCAACGCTGCCCATCCACTGTCCCCATGCACACAAACAGCCGGCCCTTCAGCTATGAATTACTATTGAGAAACTAGGTGAAGGATCGCTGGTGAAGGAACATCAACAGAGAAACAAGATCAGTCAGGACATTTAGAAGAGCCATGGACTCTTGCCCTAGAGCATTATTTTGAAGAGTTCTCACCCTTGCCTGTGTGTTGCACAGGATTACACATGGAGTAAGACACGCTCACCCTGACCTGTCAACGGCAGATCAACCAGAACTCAATGCAAATCCTAGAATGTTGCAACACAGATACAGGTGTATTGGCCCATCTCGTCCGCAATTGTGTTTTTCTCTCCACAAACCATCCTGATATGTGATAAGACGCTACATCAAATGCAAAGATTATTATTATTATCAATACAATGCCGCTTTTAAAAGAGCTGAGGGACTCAACAAGTAACAACAACTAGCATTTGTATAGCGTACAACCCCTCACAAGCCCCACGTCAGGACTTTGAGCTCACAGTCTAAACCAATGGTAGCCAACTTTTTTGGTTGGTCAACCAAATCACTGAATCATGGAATTATACAGCACAGAAGGAGGCCATTCGGCCCATCGTGTCGGTGCCGGCTCTTTGAAAAGAGTTTCCAAATCAACCCCACTCTCCCGTTCTCTCCCCACATCCCTGCAAACTTGTCCTCCCCAAATAGGTATCTACTTCTCTGTTAAAAGTTGTTAATGAATCGGCTTCCACCAGTCTTTCAGTCAATGCATTCCAGATCCCAACAACTCGCTGTGTGAAAAATTAATTTTTCTTTATTCAGTTTACCTTCACCTATGGCAGTGCCTGGGTATCACGGCTCAGTATCTACTGGAGACATGGCATTGATTTGACACGGATTCCCTGGGCTGGTGGGGGGTTTGGTGGACACTTCTTACACTCCAAGTGTTGGAGAGCTCTGGTCTAGGCTGATCTTCTGGGGGAGAGCTGCATTGTCAGAGGCGCCCTGCCCTCGGATGAGATATTAAACTGAGCCTCTGTCTACCTGTTCAGGTGGACGTTAAAGATCCGCATTGCGCCATTGGAAAAGAGGTGGGAGTTTCTCTCTCTCTCCCGGGGTCCTGGCCGACAATCCCCCAAATCAGATCAGTCACTAGCTTATAATAATACTAATCCTTGCATTTCATATAGCGCTTTTCACATCTTCTCGACGTCTCAAAGCGCTTCACAGAATAGACTGTAAAGTGAATTGACTGTATATTTGTGGGCGAAACGCGACAGCCAATTGCGCACAGCAATGTCCCATAAACAGTTGTGGATTGAAATGACCAATTTATTATTGTTTTGGGTTTTGGAGGGATTATTATTAGGCACTGTGTGGAGTAAGGAAACTTGCCCAAGGTTTGGCCCTCTGCCTGGAATTGAACTCAGGTCTCTCGCTTGCAAAGCGAGTGCTCTAACCACTGAGCTACAGGACACCACATGGCTGTGTGCAAATTGGCTGCCACGTTCAACTGCGAAATCCAGTCACTACACCACACAAAGCTTGGTTAAGCGCTTGGCATGACAATGAAGCTGTGCCTACGTGTCCTGCTGCCCTGGCAGAGCAAAAGCAGGACAGCATTACTCTGTAGTGTTTTTCCCTCTCTCTGATTCACGGGCACTGAGGCCAAGTGTAATTACTGTCTCGCTGAGATCAGCTAACTCAGCACAGCGTGGGATCTGAACCTGTGACCTGGTCTGTGTGATTTTCTGAGGCCAGCAGCTGTCTACCATCCCACTTGCATTTGCAGAGCGCCTTTCACATAAAGGCAAACTGCCTCAGAACGCTCCACAGAATGGGATATTTAAAATCTAGTGAGTGTTGTGCCGGAGACAAATGAGGCAGCTGTTCTGCGGCAGTGATGAACAGCCGTTTTAAGTGGAGGTTTTGGAGGCGATGGTGAACAAGGAGGAGGTAAACGGGGTCTCCTTAAAGGGTTGAAACTGGCTCCGAGGTGACATGTTTTGCAACGGAGTGACGGAATTTGAGCCAGCCCTCTGTGGCGGTCTCTAGTCCGGGTCCTGAGCCAGGCGGGTTCACAGTACTCGAGGCACTGCTGATGGCAGCCCAGCCTGGCTCATCGGGCAAACCAGTCACTGGGGGCAGGGCAGGGCAGGGCAGGGAGTAACCCCACACAGCTTCTGTTAACCCTGCAAGCCCTAACAGGACAAGTAGTGCTCAATGACAAGCTATGTGTTTTTAGCTGGTTAGACTCCAGCAGTTACCCCAAGCCTCGGCTCTTGCCAATCTGCATCTAGTACTTTCTGGAATTAGGTAAGCAGGATGCACCTCTCCAGAGAGAGTGCACATTCCCGTCTAACAAAATCTCTGGGATGTCCGTGTATAGATGGGATGCAGGAAATTCTCGGCTTGGTTTGGAAACGGTGATGGGTATTCGTGCATTTGATACAGCGCCTTATCACGTCGTTGAGACGGCTCAAAGCGCTTCACAGAATATACTGCAAAGTGGAATGACTGTGTATTTTGTGGGCGAAACGCGGCAGTCAATTGCGCACAGCAGTGTCCCACATACAGTCAAGGATTAATACCCCCAGAAAGCGATCCACCAATCAACTAACTACCGACTACAAGGTAACCAGAGGCATGTGGAGTAAGGAAACTTGCCCAAGGTTTCGTTCCGCCTGAGAATCGAACGTGGGTCCTCTCTCTTACGAGGCGAGCGCTCTATCCACTAAGCTACAGGACTCCACTAAAACATGGTGACCGATTCCCTCTCGCAACGTCCACGCACAACGAGACGACAGCCTGGAACTTTTTGCTGGGAGGAGGAGAGAATGTGAAGAGCCGGAGAAACCAGCAGGAAAACACCAGACCAGCAACGGCACAAGTCAAGGTCCCTTCAACTGTCAGCAGGAAGCTATATCTAACATCTCCGGTCAATCCCACACTCCGAGAGCGACAGTGTATCAACTGATTTTAAGAACGATACCATCAACTTCAATAACAACAACAACAAATTAAATATGCACAGTGCCTATCATCCCGGAAGGGCGTACAAAAGCGCTGGGATAACCAGGCCCCATTCCCTCCCCCCCCCAACCCCCAAACCAATTGCACTTCAAATATTTTCCAGGCTCTCGAACAGATAAGTGGCACAAAGTCCGCAGAAACAAAGACCTCCACAAAAATGGTATTTACAGAGAGTGTGTACCGTCACCCATTTACCTTGACCTCAACCAACCAAGAGAGGAACGTAGGTGAAAGGGCAGCATGAGCAAAGATCACTATATTAACCATTAACTGATTCCACTGCCACCATCGTTGATGGTGGTGAAGGGGGGAGGGGGGGAGGGCAGGAGGAGAGGCACAGTTGCGTGCGGATGGCACCCGCTCCACCCTCGACTCCAGGACCACTGCTGAGCTCATAGACCGCCTGTCAGACATCAAGTCCTGGAATGAGAGCTAACTTTCTACAGTTGAATGTCAACAGGACCGAGGCTCTCCTGCTTGGCTCCCGTCAGCGCCTCCATACCTCGGCTCCATCACCCTTCACGGACACACACTCAACAACAACTTGGATTTATATAGCGCCCTCCACGCCGGATGGAGCCTCAGAGCGCTTCACAGCGACGTTGTGTAAATGTCTTTTGTTATTGTTTCTCCCTCTGTCCAATCATCAATATAAGTATGTCTTCAGCCAGTAACCCCCTCCCACCCCCAACTCCACGGAGCTCCGCTTGCCTTCTCTCGCTCTACTTTTCAGTACCTTCTCTTTGGCTTTGCTCAACAGCAGCATCTCCCCCCCACCCCACACCTTCCTTCCTTACCCCCAACCACCTTCCGCCCCTCCCCACCCCCAACCCCGGGTTGTTGGTGTTTCCCAATTACGTTCAGTATTTTAGCAGTACCAAGAAACCACAACAACAAATGACATTTGTATAGCGCCTTTCACGGCAGCAGGACGTCCCAGAGGGATGAAAGCTCTGACTTCTATACAAAGAGCTGTTAGGATGCGGAGCAAATCACAAATGGTTATTTAAGAGAAAAAACAAATAATAAACCTTTCATTTGAATATAGTGACTTATCACATCCTTTAGATAGTCTCAAAGCACTTCACAGCCAATTTTGCACATGCTAATATGCTGAACCATAAACAGACATGAGTTGATCAACCAATGTTATCTGGAGGATTGTTGGCAGGAAACTGGAAGAAATCTCTTTATAAACAGTGTATTGGGATCTTTAACATCCACCTGCACAGGCAGACAGGACCTCAGTTTAACTTCTCATTGATGTTAAACTCTGACAATGCCGCAACGAAAAGGTCCAGAGGGTTTTTATTTAATTTATCCGAATAAATTAAAAATAGTGACCGACTTGATCAATAATAATAATCCTTGCATTTGATGTAGCGCCTTATCACGCAATTGAGAGCGCTTCACAGAATAGACTGCAAAGTGAATTGACTGTGTATTTTGTGGGCGAAACACGGCAGAGTCCCGCAAACAGTCGTGGATAGAGTCAAATAATTATTATTATGAAAGATTATAAAAACATTATTGTAAAAATGAGAAAAATAACAGTTGTGGATCAAGTGACCAAATTTCTATTACTATAAAGGCCCCTTATTACACACAAACACCAAAGCACTGGGACATAAATGCAACACATTTTGAATCAGTAACCAGTCGATTCTTTTAAATAACTTACACTTCGCAGATAAGGTAAAATATCTCCAACCTTCTGACGCAGCAGAGTCTGGAAGCTTTAAATGCACTGGTTAAGCAAACAAACTGGGCCTTTCTGAACACAACAAAGTGGACCTGACCTTCAAAAGCAAACTCCCATCGTGCTTTATCAGTCACACGGATCACTTTTCACCCACTTCAGCAGGACAGCCATAAACCACATCACATCGGTCCCCGTAGTGATGACAACAGCAACAGCGCTGACATTTAGCACTGCGCTTATCCGGTCAGGAGGTCGTAAATTCGAGCTCCAGTTGCAGCGTAGGATTGGGGGCAGTGTCGCAATGTAAGAGTAAGAGGTGGTGCCGACCACCAAATGAGACTTTAAACATAAGTCTTGTCTCACTATGAGACCCGAACAACAACTTATATTTATATAGAGAATAACCCCTCAAAGCTCTGTCCCTGCGCCCACAACACTTTTACATTTTACATTTTTTCCTTTTGAAATATTTGTCCAACTCTTTTGCGACGAATGGATTCTCTCCCAACAATGTGTGAAGTCGCCATATCAAATGCAAGAACTATTATTAATAATAGTTATTGATTATTGGTTATTATAACACAAATCACTGATAAAACTCACAGCAGCTGAAATACAATAAGGGCGATACCGTGTGTGTATGGGGGGGAATAGGTTTGCGTGTGGGGTGGGGTATGTGCGTATGAGGGTGTGTGTGTGTGTGTGGTGGGGGAGAGTGTGTGTGCTTGTGTGCATGGGGGGGAGTGTGTGTGGGGGGGGGGGAGTGTGGGGGTGGGGAGGGGGGAGTGTGCGTGTGGGGGGTGTGTGTGGGGGGTGGAGTGTGTGGGGTGGGGGGGAGTGTGTGGGGGGGAGTGTGGTGGGGGGGGGAGTCGGGGGGGAGGGTGTGTGTGTGTGGGTGTGTGTGTGGGGGGTGGGGGGGAGAGTGTGTGTGGGGGATGTGTGTGTGGGGGGGGATATGTGTGTGTGTGGGGGGGGGGTGTGTGTGTGGGGGGGTGTGTGTGTGGGGGGGGAGGTGTGTGGTGTGGGGGGGGAGTGTGGTGTGGGGGGGGAGTGTGTGTGGGGGGGGGTGTGTTGTGGTTGTGTGTGGGGTGGTAGGGGGGGGAGTGTGTGTGTGGGTGTGTGTGGGGGGGGTGTGGTGGGGGGGGGGGGGGGGGGTGGGGGGGGGGGGGGTGGGGGGTGTGTGGGGGGGAGTGTGTGGAGTGTGTGGGGAGTGTGTGTGGGGGGTGTGTGGAGG